CTGAACATCTTGGTGACTGGCACATCCAACCCACTGGGATGTCTGCTCCCAGTTACTTAAATAGACCTTGAATTTCTGTCTCCAGGAATGTGTCAATACAGAAGGACTTACGACAGTTTGGACAGGTTATCCTGGTGAATGGTCACCCTAGTCTCTCTGCTATGGTGGCCTTGCTGTATTCCTCTCTCCCAACTAGAAAATACACCCAGTACTGACATGAGAAGGCTGTAAATGACATACCTTAGGATTCATTCCAGTCTTGATATATGATTTTAATTATTTTGCTTCCATGTATCCATGTCAGTGAATCTGTGTTAGCTATAAAGCTTCTTTCTTGGACCCCAAAGTGGTTACACAGCCATTTTTAGGGGTTAATGAAGGTATTTGGGTGATAGTAATTGGAGGGAGGGAGACGGTAGCAAACGAAGAAACAGCTCACATGAAATGTTACTTTTCTGTATGCATGTGAGTGTATTTATGTGGAATCTGCCAATGTCAATGTCATCTATGTGGTTCTATTGGAGACTGTTTTTCCTAAAGGGTGATGTTTATCCTGGTTGTGGCTGTGAGCATGTGTGTTTATGTGACTATATGTATTTTTAGTGTGTGCGTGTCAGTACATAGAACATGTGCCAGTTGTGTTTTGGTCTGTGTGATAGTTGTGTCCTGGTGTGTATACACTTCATAAATAATGTCTCTGTACGTTTATTATGTTTATGTGGCCTCTGTTAGTTGGTATGTGATGTGCATCTATGTGAGAATGATGGACAATATCTTTATGTGTATCTGATGAGAATGCTGCCTCTTTTTTCCTTCATATCTGTAATACGTAAATGTACAATGTTACATATTCATAACAATGTGGAATATATAATATGCATGAGTGTGTGGAATGTGTAGTGTTGGGATGCCGTGCCTTTTGGCATGTGTGGTGTTTACCTTTGGGCGTATATCTGTTGTGCATCTTATTTGTGATATGAAATCCATTTGTGTAATATATATGTCTTTAGTCATATGTCAGTGGAATATAATGTCTGAAGGATATGTGAAAAAAAAGATATGTGTACAAGGGGGTGTATGTGTGTATGATTTGTTTGTGATTATTGTGTTTTAGGGAGTATTTCCTTTGTGCACTGGGTATGGATTATATGACACAAGATGGGTATAACTTCTGTGTTCCTGGGCACTGATTGAAGAATGTGTGTATATATCAGGATGGAGGTAGGAAATTGAAATAATTTCCATATTTGGGAGCCATGACTCAAAGAGGCCCAGTTTCTTGGCTTGGGCTCAGCCTGGGATTATGTTTCAGTCTCTGGGACTGATAGAAAAGCACAGTGGTTATCTTCTCAATAGGCAGACCATACCTTCTTCATCCTGACCACAAGGATTTCAGGTGCTTCTGTGACTTCTTCCCTTCTTTCCTCCCACCCTTCTGGAGGCACTGATCTCCCTAAATTGCTGGCCTTCAGTAGCAAATCACATATCTTCCCCTCTCCCTTGGCTTTCTTGCTAATCTACTAAACATGTTTAGGTGTCCTTGATAGTAGGGAGTTTCTTTTAATCCCTTTGGGGAATCAGTGAACGAGGATGGGGGTTGGGTGTGAAGGAGAGTAATAGCAGACATTGTGAAGACTCTGTCACCACCCCCCCAGGGGTCTCGCCCCCCCCCACGTAGACTCACTTAACTTCCAGCTCTTGAAATTTGTTAGGTCAAAAACGTTCACATCGAAGAATTATAGGTAGAGAACAATGTACGCTCATTTGAGGCAGAAGGAAGAACACTGAAGTACGACTTATAAGGTTAAAGTCCTGGAAATATCATAAAGTGACATACTGCATTACCTCTCTGGATTTTGTTTCCTCTTCCGTATAATGAGAAACTACAATAGCAGTGATGTTGCAAAGCTTAAACCCTATGAATGTTCTTTGTAGACTTCAAAGTGTTGTAAATATGCAAGAAATGATCATATTCATGGTTGTCTCACTGTACAGCTTTAGGAAACATTGTCCGCACCATGGTCCACGTGAATGGTGCTCCCGTATTGTGCGGTGCATCACCAGTTTTGCCACATGTGGCTGTCCTGACTTATTGTTATTAAAACAACTCTTTGTCTCTTAATAAAGTGGTTTCTCAAAGCTTCAGATAAGTTGACATTTATTTTCCTGTGCTGGTGTCTGATTTACAAATGATGTTCAAATTTACAAATGAAATTCAAAGACAGCACAACCTTGCCAAGAAATTCCTTTAGACATGGTAGATAACTGTATTAGGAAAAGAGACATTGTGGGGTTGGAATTAGATGCAATAGACATTAGGATCACTAGCTTTAATATTTGGGTAAGTTACTTAGCCTACTGCACCTCAGTAATTTTTGGAAACTCTAAGTGCTGTAAAAAGGAGATATAATGTAGCTCTGGTTGGGTGGTTGTGGGGATTAAATAGGATAATAGGTGTGAAAACACATGGAAAATAGAAAGTAATCAATACACATTGGTGGCAATGGTTTTAAAAATAAAACTGATAAAATGAGATATGTTTATTGCATTACAGGGAATTTTCAAAGCACAGCAGACTTCACCTTTCATAACAACCTGTTGTGTCAAGGCCAGGAGCTAGTCCCTTATCCAGGTTGCAGTATCACTGGCTTTAGATTAACTCATGGCCTTCTTTCTCAGGAGATCTTGGGAAATCTCTGTTCCTCCAGAATCTCTTTACTTGGATAACTGGGGGTGACTGGGGTAATTGTTGCTTGTTGGAAAAGTCGGCTAATTGCCAGACTAAATTAAGGACTTCCCCTAGGCTCCCGCAGAGTCTGTTTCCCTCTGTCATAAAACTTAAAGCTTTGCATTCCAACTGGATGTTTATCCCTCTGTCATAGAGCTTAAATAGTTTTATGATAGCTGTCTGTTTATCTTCCATCATAGAACTGAAATATCCATATACATAGTTGTCTGTCTCCCTTGAGGACAGCACTAGTTTTCTTTGTCTCTGGGGCCTGACATATAATGTGCTCAATGGCTCTTTGGCTGGGACCCCTTGGAGAGAAGGAGAGGGTGAGTGAGTTCCGGTTTACCTAAGATAAGTAAATTGACTTATCCCTCCCCAGCTCTCCCATTCCCCACCCCATCCATGCTCATCTCTTTTTCCTGTCTCTATAAATTATAGTCCTTAGTTTGACCTGTGCTACTTTATAAAGTCAACAAAGTACTTTCCCCACCCATTAATGATCAGTTATGATCTAAACCCAACATTATACTATAGATAATATTTGGTTAATTATTCCCCACTATGGAGGCAGGATCCTTCTGTAATCTCTACTCAACGCCCTGTGAATCTTGAAGTTTTCCAGTCTGGCTGGTGGAAACAGTCACTCTCCTTGGCCCTGTGTGAACACTGGGTGGTGGTGCTACCTCGCATCTTTCCAGGTGGCTCTGTCCCAGCTTTAGGTAGCTTGTTCACGTGCATGTGGGCTCAGTACTCAGCTGGAATCTTGCAGAGGGCCCTCTACATGTCTCTGGAGTTCTTTCTCTGTGTAAATCTCTCACCTCCAATACCTGGTCTTCAAACTCTAGCTAGCTGGAGCTTCCTGGACTCTCAGCTCCACGGCCCTAACTTAAGGTGTCCTCTGGATTCTGCCTGGGTTCTCCTACCCTGGCCTGCAGCAGGGAACCTCTCTCAAGGCAGTAAGTTGGGGAAACCCCAGGTTCACCTCATTTGTTTCCCAGGCTGCAGGGCTCATTGTCCTTCATTGCCTGATATCCAGTATCTTGCAAAGTATTGTTTTATGTATATTGTCCATTTTAGGTTCCTTCAGGTAGATGTTACTTCCTGTTATTCTGTCTTGGCCAGAAGTAGAAGTCCCTGGGGTATCACTTTTTAAGTCTTCACGTCGTCTAAGTCTATGGGAGGTTGAAGGAGGCAGCAGAGATGGCTCCAGGGTGATGGCAGTGAGTGTCAGGCTGCAGGTTTACAGGTACTTGGAGATCAGGTAATCACTAGTTTTGATGCGGTCTGAGTCGGAATGGCCTGATTTGACATTGTCTAATTTTACATAGTTTAAATCAGCATGCACTGTGTTGTGAATTTAAACTTGTAGTTGTGAAACTGATGAGTAAAACATAAGGAGAAACCAACTAAAATTTACTTTGCTTTATTAATAGACTTTTTAAAAACATTTAAATATGTGAGGTATTTCGTTTCACATTCAAACTGTTCTCTAACTCTCTAAAATGTCCTCTCACTATTTTTGCCCTTAAGAGAAAAACAGATGTCTTATATGGCTGGGGTTGGAGGTAAGGGAGGGTTAAGGAAACCACGTCCTCCTTCCTCAACAAGAAGTTCAGGAACTCAAGGCCAGGGAGTGGAAGGCAGAGGCATGGTCCCCAGGCATCCCTGTTATGCATTAGCTAGAGACAGCCCCCAGAGCCTGGGGGACAAAGAAGATGCAGCCCTAGAGCTCTGGGGAAAAGCAGGTGGGTCCATTGGGATCCAGGCCCAGCAAGGACCCAAGCGGCACCACCAATGGAAAGAAGGTCAGGGAAAGCTTCAGGAAGGCGATGAGTTGGCACTTAATCTTGGGGTTCCCCTGAAAGTACACCCTGCTTTTCCTCTGGCTGAGTTTGATAAGCCTGGTAAGAAACTTGGAGAAAACTCCTCGCAAAGGCCATGGCCACACACATGAGTTTCTTCTAGCTTTTCCTCACTCATTCACTCTGTCTAACTTCACATGGGAACTGGCAGAAATATCCCAGCTGGCACAGGGCCCATCTGGGGAGGATTCTAGAGACCCCTCTACCCACTGCCCCTCCTTCCCCGTACTCCAAGCACACCTTCCCAGAACACAGAAGCCAAGAAGGACACCAGTCCCACAGTTGGCTACAAGTGGTACCTGCTGATAGACCCTCTGGCAGCACCCTGCCCCCCAGCAGGGAGAAGCCAAAGGAGGGAGGAGGTATGACAGAATAAAAAAGCCTGATGTGGGAGGCTCAAAGGAGGGGGCGGAGACAGAGAGGGCTGCTCTTCAGTGCAGCCTGCCAGACTGCTTCTGGAAGAGTCCTGGAGAAAAGGGCACACGTTCCTTCAGCACAGTTGAGGTGAATGCAGGAGACTGGGGGTGAGTCCGGGTGTGTGGGTTTCTTGCAGCTAGGGGTCCCTCATTAGCCCTGCTGAGTGAATGAGAAACCAGGCCTGGAAGAACCAGAAGTCCAGGGGTAGGACCGGGGATGTAAAGGAGGTCCCTGACTCAAAGGACAGACAGACTTAGCAATTTCGATGTTCGTGAGGTGAAGGGAAGCATGGGTGGTGTTGGATGCTTCCTCGGCAGTTTTCAAGAAATTTTCTAGTGATCGGTTTACTGGGGTGCCCATGTAGAGCCCGGCGGGAATTGGCCTAAATGAAAGTCATGGGGGCAGAGAACAGATGGGGCTGGGACTGAGCTAGAGTTTGATTGGGGTTCAGTGTGAGAACACAGCCAGTCCCACTCAGGTCGTTAGTGTGGTCAAAGCTCACTTTGTGATCAGGGGTCAGACCGTAGCTCTGTTTGGGTTGTGGGCTCTGTATGGGGTCCAGGCTCACGTTGTACTTTGCATCAGGAGTCAGGCTGTGGCTGAGACGGAGACTTAGCAATCTTCCCGGGGCTCTGATCCTGACCCTGTCTGTGTCTAGGATCAGGGTTCAGTCTTCAGCCCATTTAAACAGTGGATTTTGTGTCCCTACTGCGACTGCCCCTGCCTTGCACTCGTTTAACCTCCCACCCCCCTCTTCCCACTGAACCACTTGCAGCTTTTCAAACAGCGTGTGTTCTCTTTCTCTCTGGGTCTTTGCGTTCGCCAGAATGCACTTTTGAAAACAAATTAGGTCAGGTCTATTGCTTAAATTCCCCCAAGTCACTCAGAATTAAATCAAAGCTCCTTGCCATGTCCTGCAAGCCCTTACACGATCTGGCCCCTGCCCTCCTCTCTGACCTCATCTCTTACAACTCTTCTGTGCTCTTGATACATGGGCCACCTTGACCTTCTTCCTTCTGGGAACCCCCAAAGCAGAAGACCTTTTTCTCTTGCCTCCTCTGCCTGAAACACTCTTTGCCTCGATCTTAGAATGGCTGGTGTTTTCTCATGACCCAGCTCTCAGCTCATATATCACTGCCTCAGAGAGGCCTTCACTGACCTGCTTCTCACATAAGGGTGCCTCGCCTCTGTCCTTTTCTATCCATCACTCTGTCTTACCTTCAGTGCACTTACCTTTACCTGAAATGTTCTTGCTTATTTCTTTACCTTCTGTTATGGCTCTCCCAGTGCTTGAGCTCCATGAGAGCAGTGATCTTTGCTGTTTTATCCACTGTTTTATCTCCAGTTTTGGGCACATAGTAGGCGCTCAATGTGTTTTGTCATCTCACTGAATGCTGCTGTCCCCACGCCCCCAACCCTGCCAGCTTAACTGTGACTGGCCCTGCAAGTCTTGGCTCAGATGTCACCTCCTCAGGGAAGCCCTCTGAGCCTGATAACTTGGTGAGCTATTGTCTGCTTTGTTCCCGAGGCTCTTGTACTTACCCCTGTCCTAGCATTTATCACACACAACATGTTATGATAGCTGCATATTTGTCTTAATGTCTCCCCACCACTGGAGGGCTGAACCATGACTTGTTTACTCTGTATTTCAGTATCTCCAGCACTTAGCACGGAGTCTGGGGTAGTCATTCAGTCAATAATTCTGGGGAAAAAAAAAAGAAATCAGTGTACCAATCAAAGTCCCAGATCAGGCTTTTCCACTGCATGTAGGCAACACTCAGAGAAGCCTAGAAGGGCCCTGATAACTAGGTCAAACTTTGAAGGTGTGTGGGAATCTTATTGGCTCTGGTTCTATCTGGGAAATGGATCAGCAGGGCCCTGGACACCTGGAGCTTGCCTGGGGGTGATTTTGGAGGGCCAGGCTGACTTGAGTGAGGCGAGTGGGAGTGGGAACCTCACACTGCTTTTTGTGAGTCAGAAATTGCAATCTCTCATCTTTCCAATCTCCTCGTGGCCATTCTAAAAAGAATGGCCAAGGCCCTATAAGGGTTCATCTGCATTATCAAATCCAAGCAAGGTATGAGGGACAGAAGATGCAGATGATTTGGGGTGGATATGATTCTGGGGCCAGCACCCTCATGGAGTGTTAAGAGAAGGGCTCCCTCTCCATGAATTGAGTGATGAGCTCTGATCATCCTTGCCAGCCACAGCATCACCCCTGAGGTCTGCCTTCCCTCTCTGGGCCTGGGAGTAAGAGCCAGAGGTTCCCAGGTATTCCTGGGCTTCCCTCCAAGGACATTTTCTTCCAGGTGTTCCCATAGAGGCTGGCAGGGGCACCAGAGGCCCCTACCCCACTGCTCTCGGCATGGAACATTCTGTGTGTTTAGCCACTGAACCTAAGTGGGGAGACCTGGTCAGGTGTCCTGAGTCTTAGAGAGGCCTTCTGGACCAAATTTTGGATTCTTTGGAGATTAACATTGAAATAATCCTTAAAAACCATTGGTTTATTCAAAAGGAAACTGGGAAAGGGGCAGGGCAGTAGCTTGGCCTATTGGAAAGCACATGGATTTGAAGCTGAGAGCTCTAACTAACCCTCAACATCCTTATCTGTCAAATGGGATTAATGTTACCTGCCTGACAGGTTGGTGAGAGGCCTCTATTGTTTGAGAAGAAAATACTCAGTAGAGGATAAACCTTTTTACTTTCCACTGTGGGCCCTTCCCAAGTCACAGCCAGAGGAGTTGAGGCTGAAGAGGGGAGAGCACCCAAGTCCCAGTCCAGGAGGGTCCTCTTTACTGCCCTCTTGGTTTCCCTTCCAAGAGTCTAGCTGGGCCAGGTGTCCTACTTACCAAGCCCTTCTTCTACCCTGCCTCTTGGGCAGATTTTGTTTGTTTTCAGAAGTTGCAACACAAAGCCGGTTAAAGGGAAAATGTACAGGTGTTGGAATTGAACAGTCTAGGTCAAATATCTCTTTTACCGGTCAGCTACTAAACCCTGGGAATATTATTTAACTTCTTGGGGACTCAGTTTTTACACCTATAATGTAGAAATGATACATAGAAGTCCTATTATGCAGAATTGCTCCTGGGTTAGATAATATTTATATAGTGTCTGGCATTCTGTAGGTATTCAGTGATTTCTGTTATAATCCTAAAAACAATAGAATCAATGCTGGCAGTGACCTCATTGTTCTCATGGGTCTGTATCCCTGACTGCTTTTCCACACGTGTCTGAGATGGAAGGCATTCAGAGAGCTCTGGGAAAGAATGTGAGGATGGGCTGGTATGGGGGCTGTGAGGGCACTGGGGGACAGAGTCCTAGAGGCTAGGGGGAAGGAATGGGGAGGATTGAAGGCCTCAATGTAGATTTCTATTCTGTATCACTGGAGGCTCCTGATGCCCCATCCTCAAGAAATGTCTAAGAAGTTCTTCACAGTTCTCCAATAAACTTCCTGAGACTTGCTAAAATAGTGTGACTTTTCAGAGAAAATCTCAAGCACAGGGCTGCTCCCTGGGGGTTAAGGCAGTGCAGGCTTTCTAATAAAGAAAAAGACCCCTCTCTTTGTTTATTTTTCCTTGATTATGTTTCGTTTTCAAAATAGAGTGATTTAGCTCCAGTTTCCTTCAGAGCTTCCAAATGTTATCTGAGTGTGTGCTATGGTTCTAATTGCTAAAAGCTGCTCAGGCTGGTAGTCAGCTGGCAGGACTGTGGGAGATTAGGGTGCTTCAGGGCTGAACAGTCTGAAGGGTGATGCTTGGGTCCTCCGGTTGGCTCCCCTCTCTATTCCTTCATTTCTCTCCCGCTGCCGCCTTCTGAGGTCTATCCTGATTTGACCTCCAGTGAGAACTGCCCACTTCGTGCTGTGGAGGTGCCTCCCTTTCAGGCCAGCTGAATCTCAGGGCTTCAACTTTGTGTTTCAGTATCTTCATCTCAGTGCTTAGTCTTTGCCATTGTGAGAGACTGGCTGCTAGTTAGTGTGTGTGTGTGTATAAGTGTGTGCTTGAGGCGAAGTGGCAGTTAAGGTGACAGATGGAAGGGGGATAAAAAGTTTTTGGAAACTTCAGACATTTTCAGAGACTTATTCCCCATTTTTATGGAAATATGAAAAAAAGTGCTTTGTACCCTGTGATGCTGTTTTATGACATCTTTTGACATTCCTGACCTCATTAATTTTGCAGCAACACAATGAGGTTATTAATGTCCTCTGCGTTTACTTAGACCCGAGACTCTCATTTCTAGTCCCAGGGTTCTGCTCAACACGTCACTTTACCCTCCTAGGTAATAGGGTTGAATGTGCCAACCCATGATTCTTCCGCAGTATGTTTCCTAAAGCAGCACATTTTTATCCTGGGAATTGCCCAGCTTTACCTTCTCTGTCCATGTAAAATTTCTGGATGGTATTGATATCTGACCCTCTGGAGCACTAGAGCCTTTTTGCTAATGTCTCCAGTCAGGGATCCTAGGTCACCCCCTCTCTTGGGCACAGACTATGCTGCATGCCCACTTTGCATTTATTTAGAGCCAAGGCTTTGCACTTGCCCTGTTCTCCACATGCCCATTCTCATGCCCTCTGGCTCCCTGGGTAAGAAAGGTCTTTTCTGTTTGACTCTAAAGTTTCTTGTTCTGAACTTATGACCACCATGCCCTAACCTTCCAAACAGTCTTCATTTCTTCTCAAAAATCTCTATAGTTCAGACAAATGGCAGTCTTTCTTACCCCTTGGCTGTGCTACCCTTGTTAGACACTTACTGAGGAATTCTTCTTTTGATAAAACTCCTTTTATAATATAATGTTTATTTTCAACCAACAGTAACTAAACACTAATTAATCAATATGATAGGGTCCCTGACATTAAGGAATTAATAATTTAGTGGGAAATAAACATAGCAATAATTCCAGTTCAGGATGGTAAATGCATAAAAAGAGACCTAAACAAATTTCTTTGGGAGTCCAGAGCAGGAAACATTTAATCATACCCAAGGGAAAGAGACTTAAGAAAGTGCATAGGAAAGAGACAGTAAACCAGGATGTGGAAGATAAGATTTTGCCCAGTGGGAACTTAAGGAGGGAGATCTGGGAGGGCCATGACAAAGGGAAGAGAAGTAAAAAAGACAAGTAGACACAGAGGCATGGGATCAATGCTACATTTATGAAATGGCATGTATTCCAGCGTGCCTGGAGCATAGGGACCATGGTGAGGAGTGGTGAGAGAGAAACTAGGGCCGAATGCTGAAAGACAGAGCTTTGTCCCACCTTAGTAGTTTAGTCTTTATTTCAGAATTAATTTGGAGCTTACAAAGGTATTTTTTAAACAATAAATGGTGACCTGATTTCATGTGGGTAGAAGATTATTGGGCTTGTGCTGATGACAAAGTTAACACTAGGGTCATGGCCATGAGAATCAGGGTATTTAGCTCATGTGTCTGTTTAGGCCACCTTAAGAGAAAAAAAGAAACACTACAGGAAAACAGTTAACAACAACAGATATAATTTTTTGCATATTTACTTTGTTCCAGGCATTGTGTTAAAAGCATTACACTCATCTCATTTAACCCTCACCTTGACTTCTATTAGGCAGTGACTGTTATCCTCATTTTAACAATAAAGAAACTGAGGCTTAGAAAGGTTAAATGATTTGCCCCAGATCACACAGCTAACAAAGTTGTTGACTGGGATTCGAATCCAGGATCGATTTCAGAGCTCATACTCTTAACATTAAGCTATACAATACTGCCTCTGGAAGACTTTGATCTTCAGACATGGAGAGTTTGATGTGCTTGAGAGACAACTCAGTGGACTCTTTTAGTGACTAGAATTATGGATCTGGTCACAAAAGATAATTCAGGCCTTCCCAAGTAGATTTGGGAATCAATAGTTTATACGTAAATAATGGGTTTACTGAAGGAGATGAGATGGCCCGGGGAGAGTGTATATAGAGAGAAGAGATCTGAGGATAAAATTCTGAGAGCATTATCATTTAAAAGTACGCTTAAGGGTCAAGTGGAGGAGGCTGAACACCCAGAAAGAACCAAGAACTAGTAATCAGAGAGAGATGAGGAGAAGCAGAAGGAACAAGGAGAAATTTTAAGAAGGAAGGAACTGATCACAGTGTCATATGCTACGGAGAGGTCAGTACAGAAGATTTAAGTGACACGGAAGACTTTGGCCTCTTAGCCTAAAGTTCTTGGTTAAGCATGGCTCCTTATATCTTCTCCCTCCAGTTGTTTGAACTCTGTCACTCTCTGTTCTAAAACTCATGCTCCCAGTGTCTTCTCCTTTGTGTCTGAGGGACCCTCTGGGTGACAGCTCAACAGTGGAACAAAGACCATCAACACATCCTGAGCCCAGTGAATGGTGTAAGCCCCTCCTGATGCTGCCCATGAACTCTTCTGTGCATTCAACTGCTGTCTGGTAGCCCGTGCAGAAGCCCCTACCCCAGTTGTCAAGGGCCAGATCTTAAGAACCTAACCCTTCTTTTATTCTTACCAAGATAAAATTATCTTAAATATACCCTAGCGATAAGTGTCACTATTTTCCTAATGGGAAGAGGACAGCTAGAGAGAGAGAGAGAGAGAGAGAGAGAGAGAGAGAGAGAATACATACACATATATAGTGTGTGTAACTACAATTATATAATCTAATAAATAGTAGGAGCATGTGAATATTTGTGAATGGAGGAAAGGAAAAAAGGGAGGATGTTAGTTAACTCTGTAGTTGTTTCAACAGAGAGATATGATCTGAGAAAACTCAAATCTGACATTTCCCACCTCAGCAATCTGTACTTATATCCATCACTTTAATAGCCAGATTCAAGGATATTGGAACCCTGGTATAGGATTGATTGTTCCTCCAGTGCTTTTAATGCCATCATCTTTCAGGTTTAGTCCTCTGTGTCAGTCCCACTCTCAAGCCTTGTGGGTCCCCTAGAAACAGAGCTTGAGGTAGAAATTCTTGTTTAAAGGGTATATTGTCATGAGAAGATGAGTGAGGGAAATAGGATAGAGCAGGGAAAGAAAATTATGTGAGGCTGTGGTCTCAGTTGGAGACCAGCTTCAGCTTTGGTTCCTCAAGAAGCTCTGAAGCACACATTACATCGCAGCTTTGGTCCCACCTGAAGACAAGAAGGCTGGCCTTTTTTATCTTTGTGTTAGGCACTCATTGACTTCTAGATGTGCTCTGGTGGGGATAACATAACTTCCTGGGTGAAGTGCCTCTCATTTGATCAAGGAAAATTTTCTCTAGAAAGGGAGGACTCTGAGCCTTTAGTACTCAACACCCACTGCAAATGGGATATAGATGCATTGACTTGGTGAAGGGAATCCGAGTGGGACACCATTGGCATTCATTGCAGTCATTGTTCCTTTTATGACATAATCTGGGCAGTCTGAACAAGTGTAAGGCTTTGGGTGGACATTTGGGCAAGAGTGAAATGTAGAGTTAGAGTTCAGGATGAAGTTAGTGTCTTTTTTTTTAAATTAAATTAAGGGTTATCATAATAAAATAGGTGTATGAAGTTTTACATAAGTTTTATATAACAACTAAAGTTAAGTCTTAGGTTATTGTTAAAGTTAGGGTTAAGGCTAGAATTGGTGAGATCATTAGGATTAGTGATAAGGTTAGATTTCAGCATTAATCTATGTTACTAGAGTATTGCTACATTGGACTAGGATTAGTCTTAAAGATAGTCCAATGATATAATTAGAATTACAGTGGGTATTAAGCATAGGGGAGCATAAGGTAGGATAAGATAGAAGTGATGGGAATTTTTATCATCTAAGTCTGATGTGTACTTAGTCAATAACCTATCCTTGGTGAACTAAAAAATTTAAAATGCTTAGAATTTTTACTTTAGTATTTCATTTGTTTTCAGAATTAACTTCAGAGGTGGGGTTAGTAAGAAAGACTGGATGAATGCTCATTTGGGCCTTGAGTTATGAAGGATAGTTAGGCTGAGTTTAGAATAGAATCAGAGTTTGGATAGGCAATGAAGTTAGAGTTCTGGTCAGAGAACAGGACATCAGGGTGGAGGAAAAGAAAAATGGCAGTGGAATTCTGGAAAATCTGACAATGGCTTATATTTGTATTCCAGCCTCTACCTGCCTGGCATTGGTCTCAGCTCAGCATCTTCACTATGGTGGATCCCAGTGGCAACGAATCCAGTGCCACATATTTCATTCTGATAGGCCTGCCAGGATTGGAAGAAGCTCAGTTCTGGTTGGCCTTCCCATTGTGCTCCCTCTACTTTATCGCTGTGCTAGGTAACTTGACAATCATCTACATTGTGTGGACGGAGCATAGCCTACACGAACCCATGTATATCTTTCTTTGCATGCTTTCTGGCCTTGATGTCCTCATCTCCACCTCATCCATGCCCAAAATGATGGCCATCTTCTGGTTCAATTCCACTACCATACAGTTTGATGCTTGTCTGCTACAGATGTTTGCCATCCACTCCTTATCTGGCATGGAGTCCACGGTGCTGCTGGCCATGGCCTTTGACCGCTATGTGGCAATCTGCCACCCACTACGCCATGCCACTGTGCTAACATTGCCTCGTGTTACCAAGATCGGCATGGCTGCTGTGGTACGGGGTGTTGCACTTATGGCACCCCTGCCTTTCTTCATCAAACATCTGCCCTTCTGCCGCTCCAATATCCTTTCCCATTCCTACTGCCTACACCAAGATGTCATGAAGCTGGCCTGTGCTGACATCCGCGTCAATATCATCTATGGCCTCATTGTCATCATCTCTGCCATTGGCCTGGACTCACTTCTCATCTCCTTGTCGTATCTGCTTATCCTCAAGACTGTGTTGGGCTTGACACATGAAGCCCAGGCAAAGGCATTTGGTACTTGTGTCTCTCATGTGTGTGCTGTTTTCATATTCTATGTACCTTTCATTGGGTTGTCTATGGTGCACCGGTTTGACAAGCGGCATGACTCCCTCCTGCCTGTCATCATGGCCAACACCTATCTGCTTGTTCCTCCCGTGCTCAACCCTATTGTGTATGGAGTGAAGACAAAGGAGATCCGGCAGCGTATCCTTCGTCTTTTGCATGTGACCACCCACACTTCGGACCCCTAGGTGTCAGGAATCAAACTTCTTTTTCACAGGAGGTCCTTCAATTCAGATTTTAATATCAACATTTTGGAAGACAGTATTGGGAAAAAAATTCTTAATGAAAGCACAACTGATCCTTCAAAGATGAAACTGATTGGAGAATCTCCATCTGAGTAGGGGTAGCAGAACTGTATACTCCCAATCCTTATTTTTCAATATTATTTTACCCTTTAGTTCTTTGAGGTAGTCATGGTTGGAAGATTATTACTTCCTACTTAACCATTCAGTCCAATTCTCAAGTCCAAAAAATTCATATGGTTGCTTGCACTGTTAGTTTATAGCATTCTGAGATAAGGGTGATATTTCTAAAAGACATTTACCAAAGGCTTAAGCAAGGCAAAAATAAAATAAATACAAGAATATAATACAATTAGATAATCTGGCTTAAAACCATGATTTCGTCTTCAGAATCCCCTACAATTTTGGATCTTAGGAAAGGAGACATACCTGGATTTCCCTCTTCAAAATGACCACAGAGAAAAAATAATTTCTTTCTTCTGAGTAGCAATCCTTAAGAAAAGATTGAAAGTAAATTCACAAACGATTATATTTATCTACATTAATGAAAGGTGATACACTGTATTCTGAGCATTTTCATAGACTGTGAAAATTTTTCCTTAATTTCCAATTTCTTATCAATCTTTTGATTTAGGCAGGAATATGATTAGTTACCCCCATCGTACCAGTGGGGGAACTGATGTTCAATGAGATCACGCAGGCTCAAAAAAAATTGTCTTTTGATGCCCAATCCCATATTGTGAGGAGGGAATATTAGACTAGTGGGATAGTGAGTTAGACATTCCAGAGTCTTGCATTTTCTAGTGGAGGTATTTAAGTTCCTTTCTCACTCATCCAGTATTGTATTTAGGAATTTCCTGTTAATGTTACTGATGGCTTTAATCTCAATAGTTCCTGGCCTATTTGCCATTGTACTTGTGTAGTAGCAACAGGAGTATGTTTGGGTAATTCCCAAACAGTGGCTAGTTTGGGAAATAGTATAATTAACAGTAGGGACATTCACTGGATATCTGGAGAGACTCTACATGGAGAGATGCAGCTGAGAAAACCTAGAAGCTCATGGCAGAAAGAGCAGGGTTGGTTATAGACCAGGGAGTCAAGAGCAGGAAGTATTGTGAGACTGAGTAGGGCCAGTGGCCTGGGTGGCTAGCCAGGAAGCAAGGCTTAATCAAACATAGGTCCACAGAAAGTGAATAGAGTATATAAGTGAACACCATGTATTCCCAGGGCTCTGAGCTACCCTTCAGGGAATGCCCACAGCATCAAAGCTCAGAGATCAAGACCATAGGAGAGCTCAGTAAAGACTGCATCCCTGTTAGCTGTACTTAGCATGAGTATGGTTCCAGAGGCCCACCCAGGAGCCCTACAAGCCAAGCACAGCACTCCCAGAAGAAGCAGAATGGGAAGGAGGGGTGTGGGCACTATAGGAGTACAGTAGGAATGAATGGCAGAGGAATGAGATCTCCATCCAAAAGAGAGGTAGGTAAGTGTGAGAAGCAGGTAGTATAGTAGAGAGCATGGCACATGGCCGGCCAGACTTTTCCAGCTATAGCTAGTAGCACAGGACTACTTGGTACAGAGGATATGGAAAGAGCATATCTAATTTCTTGGACTGGAATCCAGAAGATGAGAACTGTGAGCAGTATGGAATCTGCTATGCCCAGGTGAGTGATGGCCAGCAGAGCATGGGGCATAAACTAGAGTCAGTGCTGGCTTTGGTCACTTTGAACTGTTTGGAGGGTCATCCCAGTTCCTGATAGTGCCTTGACATTGAAATTGAAAGAAAGAAACAGAATGAAAGGGAGAGAAGAGGGAGAAAGAGACAGATTTTTTTCATATTCGGAAACCAGTATATGATCACTGTAAACAAAAATCTTAGACACTCTGAAAATATAAAAGAAATAAAAATATAATAAAAACTCCAATAAACTTGTCACCTTAAAAAAATTATTGTTGGCGTTTTGGTGTTTATTCTTCCAGATTTTCAATAAGTGTTTGTGTACATGCTTCTGTATGCACATATGATGAATGTGTGTATCTGTATTATATTGTCTGAAATCCCATTGGAGACATAGATAGGTGGATAATAAAGAGATAAATCAGACAGACACATATAGTTTTCTTTTCCTGGGGATGCTGCCACTATCTTAGATTTCAAAAAGGATTCCAAGTTTATGATAGTTTGTATGCTCAGGATAAAGTTTCACGGTTTTGATCCGAAATGGATTAACCATTTGGTGAATGTAAATACAAACACACATCCACACACACATCCACAACCACATCACCACCACCACCACCTTCTTGGGTTTCTCAATAAGTACTAAATGCCAGATACAGAGACAAAACTATATCCGGTCATTTACTTCATAAATACTTACTGGGTCATCCAGAAGAGCCTGGAGTTAAGAACTAGGATAAGAGGAAAAGGCTGCCTCTTGTAGGAGATTTGGCTAGAAGTTAGGGTATGTTTAAAGACCTTCATCATATACGTTTTACATGGGCATCATTTTACCGTCCCCATTTCCTTTATTTGGATATTCTCGTCTCTGGCCCCACTATCTCAGCTATTGGACCTTTGTTGGGCCCTAGAGAAGTCTGCATAATATGGAATTTCAGTCTGCAAGTCCCTTATTCATTTTTTTTTAGGTTTTACCTAGAAATGATTTGTAAACATGCCTTGTGTCCTCAATTCTGACTAGCTATTCTCTAGTCAAGATACTCCCCTGTTGCTTGGACACTTGTCAAAACCTCCACACTGGTCTCCTTGCCTTAAACATCTTTTGCATCAGTCCTAAATCCCACATAGCTTATAGGAGTTTTTCCAAGCACAACTCTGATTAACTTCCCTGCTTAAAAATCATCAGAGATCTTTTATTACTTCCCATAAAAATTTGCACTTCTCAGAATGACAGTAGCCTCCTTTCCCCTTTTATACCTGTTCCCATCTTACTTTTCCAATATAATATCTCTAATTTTTCCACATACCATATTATTCAGCTACTTTACTTGGTGTCTCTCATTGATTTTATGTACTTTTAAAGCCTCTGTTTCACTCTATTTCTGTTGTCTGATTTGATTTTTGCCATTTTTCTTTTTAGTAACACATTATTAAATGAAGCTGTTTATGATTTGTCAGGCCAAAAGAAGTATTCCCTCTTCAATGTTCCCAGACTTCTTGAAAGACCTTTAGAACTGGACCATTTCCAGTTCAGAAAGGTTTGAGTGAGACCTCTGAGTTGTATCTATTTAAGATAATAAGGTATCTTATATCACTCCTTTAATTACATTGAGATAAGACTCTCTTGGATGCAATAGACATACATGTGAAGAGTCATTGCCTTCCACTATGTCTGGCCTTCTTCTTTTTTTTTTTTTTGGCCTTCTTGACATAGGCAGATCTGAACTTGGGAAAGGATTATATCATAACATTGGTTTAGGCTTTCAGAGTTGATACTCATTGTTCATCTCTTAAACAAAGTACTTTCAAACTTCTTGTCCACTCCCCTGGCAACTCAGCTTTTCATCTTAGATTTGATCCAAAGGGAATGAAGCTGATGCAGAACTTGCCATTCCCTTCCTAAGGGAGCCAACAAGGATGTAGGGCTTTTAACTCTAACAAAGTTGAAGAATGAGGGTGTGGATAATCTGGAGCAGATCTGAAATGGGGTTATAGAAGAGGATGCAATTGTCAGTGTCAGACTTCATTATGGAATCTGTCAAGCAAGGGGGTCTCTTGGAGAAAAGGACATTCCCGAGAGGGGTTACAAGAAGAGTTAGCGCTGAGGTGGGTGGTACCATATCACATGATCAACACATTTATTTATTCACTTGTTCAATAAAACTTTATGAAAAAATTAAAAATGCCTTTTTCATATGTTTTTTTCCCTAGACTTTCCTCTTTGTTAATTCATAATTTGCCTAGAAAAACCCTATATACTTTTTCAAGATGAAATAAAAACATTCTCCCCTTTGTAGAGGTTTGTCCGATCTTCCCAGGACAGTTCTGGCAAGAATGGATTTGCAGTCCCTAGTAATCTCTTGCACTGAACTTTATTATGGTATGTATAAGTCTACAGTCTAATTGTGTATTTACATGCCTTTATCCTGGCACAAGATTGTGAGTTTCTATAAAGAAATGACCACATTTAACATATTTCTCAGTCTTTAGTCCACAGCACTGCTTCTAGTACAAAGTAAATGGTGAACATCCATTTGTATCGTGAAGAAGCCTGATGGTCTTCCCACTGTATTAGCATAGACTAGGAATTTTCAGTGTTTGCTGAGGGTAGCAGGTTCCTATGAGGCTATAGAAAGTGTCTTTTATGGTGCCCAGACCCTGCGATATTTCATAATTACATCAGCCTTGGTCTTTCCCCCTCAGGACCCTGAGCATGGCCTCCCTGAGGGGCTTGGACTTGACATTGTAGATGATGGGGTTGAGCACAGGGGGCACCAGCAGGTACACATAGGCAACAAAGGCATGTACAATGTGGAGCATGTGCCTCCCAAAATGGTGGATCATGGACACGGTGATACCTGGAATAAAGAAGACAAAGACAGCCAGGGTATGGGAGACACAGGTGTTGAGGGCCCGATGAGCTCCCTGGGAGAGGCCAGCCCCAGGACCGTGGGCAGGATGAGAGTGTAGGACAGGACAATGAGCAGGGAATCTATGCCCCCCAGGGGACAGTACCACATAGAACCCATAGAGGATGTTTATGGTGATGTCAGCACAGGCTCTTCTCATCACGTCAGGATGGAAACAGAATGAATGGGATAAGAGGGTCTTATTAGGGCAGAAGTTCAGACATTTAAGTAGGAATGGCACTGGGAAGAGAGACAGGGTAGCACAGGCCACAATGGCCAGCCCCATCCTGATGATGACATTGTTTGTGAGGACAATGTGAGCTGCATAACGCAGGGGGTTGGAGATGGCCACAAAGTGGTCAAATGACATGGCCAGGAGCACTGAGGACTCCACCATGGAGAAATAGTGGAGGAAGAACATTTGGACCAAGCAGGCATTGAAGC